AAGAGCATAATTAAATACATTTTAAAACACTAGTAATGGCATTTGGGCAAAGTTTTAACATTTCACTTCATCTCGAGCTTTCCTCCATAAGACATTTAAAAATAAGTCACCCCATAAGGAAAAGAGAAGAATACAAAAAAAAAAAAAAAAGGCTGCAGAAACTGCAATATTTCAGTATTTGCAAGAGCAGCCAGTTTTGCTCGCAGGGCTGAGCTGCACGTGCTAACACAGGCAGGACCCTGCAGATGTGGCAGCCAAAACCTTTATACAGTAGCAAGCAGCAATAAACTGCTCTGAACGCTGGTCCATCTCACCTGCCTTAAGCGTATGGATAAACTGCTACATTTTTAGGGGTGTTTTTTATTAAAATAAGTCGCGCTGAGGATTTGGGGAGAAACATCACGACAAGGCAAGCAAAGGGAGAGCCTCGTGCCACGTAACAATAGCCAGTGAAATATTACTCTTATTTTCTGTAATAAACACCGAGATCAAAACATTATGCAAGTTAAATTTCCTTGAAAGGGTCCCAGCAGGAGGCTTCCTTTTGGCTTGGGCAGGACACGATTTCCTCTCACCCACAAAAACCATACCAAGAATGTGCATGTGCCGCTAACACTAAGCAGCACTTCCTTAATCACTCATTTCCAACAATTTATGGATGATCAGTGGCAAAAACGAGCAAAAATAATGAAAGCACGCAATGAAAGCTCCTTGAGACAAAGCGGCTTGGACTTCCTACTCAGCCCTGTGTCTATTTAAGATGGGGGTCTGAGACAAATTAGCCACTGGGGGGAAAAAAAAAGTCATCTGGTCATAAAATACAGTACAGGGTCACTTTTATGTAAGTTTGCCAAAAGGGACATAAACCAGGACAATTTCAAACTGTGACACAGGATAGAAGTATATTAAAAAAATCTTTGTTCCTCCTCCATTGTGCTGTCATGTTGCTCGGCTTTATAGACATTCCAAGCACCAGCTCTGGCCTCTTCGCTTCCACCTGGTCCACCTAATTAATTAAGCAAGGAAGTTACCTCAAATTTTTGTACTATTGGTTTTTATTATCATGCGCTCCTTTTGATGTTCCAGGAGTTAACCTCTTAATGCACAGACTATGTGTGTTGTGTTCTGAACGTTTTGGGATGTCTGGATAATTTGGATAATTGGTCAGGATGTTGCTGTCGCTCATGGTAAACTTTATGCCGTGACTTCGGGTTCAAAGATCAGTATTAAGGTAAAATACTCCATAAAGCCTTTTTAAAAAGCCAAACCTGCACTTCCGCAATACCCAGTTACACCAGTTTCTCATGGTGGTAAAACTCACTGCTTGTGTTTCCTTACAGATCACTCCTGAACGGCTTCATTTCTGTGAGCTCCGAACAAATACAGCTTTGGGTCAAAGTTACATCCACAGAAGGCAAGTTTAAGGCCAAGAAAAGGCAGAGCAACTATCTCCCCAAAGATCCTTGCCTCTTCACACGGCAGCATTGATGCTCTTTTCTGTGCAGTCAGTGCCCAACTCCAAATCCCACAGTTTTCCTTTGGAGAGAATAGTAAAGAGCTGAGATTAGCTCTCATATTAAGAGACATAATTGGCACCTTTGCTTCGTAATTACACCAGAGAATTTGTGAAGGGCAAAAATGCAGAACTGAATAGAGTATCCAAACAACAAATGTCTTTATACACACACTCTTCAAAGGAAGAATTTAGAGATATAAAAAGGGGCTTCAGCATTACTACAGGAGATGGATGTTATTCCAGGCTACTCCAACACCTCAGTTAGCAGCAACAGCCAAGGCATCACATACCATCATGAACTCCAACTGCTTCTATATTCATGGGAAACTCATGCATGTAAAGATGTGTGCATACATTACACTGTCTCTTACAGCTATTTTCCTGATAACAGAAGTCTGCCACTGCCATCCAACAGGAACCAGCTGTACCAAGGAGGAGCACTTGGGCTCTTGAAAGGGGCCCAGCAGATCCTTTAGGCTCAAAATGCCCCTTTTGCATTAGCATGGTGATTTTAATTAAAAACTGGACAGGGAGTCAAGCTGCATTCATCCATGGCGAGCGCCTGATTTTCGTGTTTCTCTCCTCTGCACAAGATTCCAGTCCTTGGCTGTTTTAAACTCGTGCCCTGGGGAATCAAAAGGAGCCTGTAAGAGGGGCCATGTGCCATTTCCAAAGTGCACCAGCAACCAGGAAAAAGGCACAGGAAACTGGGAGATGGTTAATCAAGCCCATTCAGATCCATGCAGCTTAAAAAGCAGGAGTAATACTTGTCCCTAAAAGGACAGGGGAAAAAAAAAAACATTGCACAAAGCACATAAAGCCAACCTATAAACTACCTCCAATATCAACAAGCTCATACAGTAGCAAAGGGATTAAAAGCAATTCTGAGCATTCTATATTCTATGTTCAATACTCACACAACTTGATTTTTAGCACATTCACAATAAAGACTGACATTACTGTCAGAGTTAAGCTTAGGGAAATCCATTTTTTTTTTTAAAGTTGTATTTATTTTCAGAGTCAAATCTTTTATTCATTCTGTTTCAGGACTTAAAATTCAACTCTTACATGAGCACCTACAAATGGATAATGTGACTCTAGCCCTTATTTACTCACAACAAGGAAGGTCAATCTACAACATTCAGGATGACCTGAACAAGCACTTCCATTGAAGCAGCCTTTTCATCCCCAATTTGAACCATGTTAACCATCAAGTCAACTGCTGTCCCTACCCTCTGGCAAACCTGTTCACTGAATGTCCTCACATTTACGGTGGATTCTCCGTTCACCAAATGCTGCGAGTTTGCCAAATGCATACATCCCTTTAAACCTGGCTTGTTAAAGTCTGATTTTGCCATCTAACAGCAATAATTTGAATGTTCTACCTCTTAGGCTATGCAATGAATGGCAGTTCTGGTGGAATTTATTTGTTCATTTTCAAGTTTACATGGGTATAATGATTTGCAAAATTACCAGAATAAGAGGTAGTCACAGTCTTAAAATTGTCTGTTAAGAAAAAGAGATGACCAAAGAGCCAAAAATCTGAGAAGAAATGGGAACACTCCTCCAAGATGACAGAACTGAAAAGCTTACATCCATCCTCAGCTCAACTAAACAGGTTTTCCCAGAGTTGAATCATTCTATTAAGTGATTTATTTTTGTATTTATTGCAACAGAAATACAAAATTTATCAGGTGACCCTGTGTGTGCAGGGGAGGGTTGCACTTGATGGTCTCTAAAGGTCCTTTCCAACCTTAACGATTCTACGATTCTATGAAATAAAGCATCTGCATCAGAATTTGACCAGAAAAACGTAAGTAAGCTGTATAGGACTTCAGAGCCAACTAGTTTAGTTGAGAAATAAACATTTGCCATTTTTAATTTATAGAAAAAAACTAGTGAAGAGAAGGTACTCATGTATTGAGAAAATAAACATAAAGGGCTGTAAGGTCAGTTTAAGTTCAGCCCATGTAGGTGGAAGAAGATGGCGGTTTTGAGCTGAACTGGCTAAACAGAGTTTAGCCAATTTGACCCCTTTAGCTTGGCCACCTCAACCCATACTGAAATAATCTGGATACTTCTATAGTTCAGGCAACAAAATGCAAGGCGGTGGCACCAAATTGCTCAGGACAGGTGAGACAAACAAATCTACAGAGCCATCCTCGTTGGGTCTCGCAGGGCAGTTTGGACATTGCTCAATTTGTATTACCCAAACAGGGGCTTCCATCATAGAAAAGAAATCCAATTCTTCACATTATTTTATCCCAGTTACAGGTTTCCTCATGCAGTACTTTAGGAATCTTATTTTCCTCTTATTTTCGTTCTCTCAAGCACCTGCAAGCAGCTTAAACCCCATATTGGATGCCGTGCTCTTTGAAGCTTCCACAGATCAACAAAGGACAAGACCTTCCTCACGACACATTCCCATCAATGCCACCAAACAGCTACATTTCCTTCCCACACCACTGAGGACCATCTTGATCTACATGTTATTTCTGATCCATCAAAGACTCTGTACAGTATTGCATTTGTCTTTAATGCTTTTTTCTAATTTCAGGGCATTTCTCAAGATCCTTTTCGTTCTAGTGCCATCACACAGAGGATGTGGAATTCTCTCAAATATCGTATCATAAAAACCAAAAACATACCCACTGTCATTAGAAAAGTTGATGAAAACATTTAGTAGTATCAGTCTCCAAACAGTCATTCCCATCTGAGTACAATATTCACCCTTTGAACTTCTTTTTGTTGTGTCCTCCATTATAATCATCTCTTTTTCACCACATTTCTTTATTTCAGATGTTAATATTATACTAACCGTCATATTCTTACATGGTAGAAAAACAATATTCTCGGTCATCTAGTTTTTAGACTGTTTAACCATTATCCTCAGGTATTTTCTTGTTAGCACAGCCAGGTAATTTATAAATATTTCCAAAGTGAAATGACAGACATTTTACTTCTTCCAGAAAGAGAAGTTAACATGAATGATATTTTAGTTTCTTTGCGGTTCTGCTTTTGAAGACAGCAAGCTAAACAAGTTACCTACAGGTTCTTCTCCACAATATTACCTGATAAAATGGAACATTTCCTGCTCTGTATACTTTTTGTTCACAAGAGGCTCCTAAGCTTGTATCATCCATATTTCCCTTTATTTTCATCTAGATATAGTCACATTTGCTTTTGTGCATTTTCTTTTCATCGAGGCATATTACGAAAACAATTTAAAAAAAGCAAAGTCTTTAAAAGCTAAAGCATTTAAAATAAATCCTTCTTTATCCCAGTATTAGTAGCTTTTCAAGGGCTTTTTCCCTTAAAGTTACTCACAGCCAGATACTGTATATTCTCTTTACCTGCTTTTGTGAGAATGCATTTGTGTTTACACACATTTAGATAGATCTGCGTCAAAACTTATTCCAAGTCTGCAATATTAGCTTCATCAGAAAGGAGGACTGGAATAGGATTCTTAATTGTACATTCCTACCTTTTTTAAGCCAGCGAATCCTTCCGATTCCAGAAAGAAAAAGGCAAAGGGCATCAACACAAACAAACATAAATTGGAAAAAAGAGAAGCAAGATTCCACAGGCCTGCAACAAATCAGAAAAAGTGCACGTAAGGGTTTCAACTTTAGAAGATGCTACATGCTCATCTCTTACATAACAACAAAGCAGTACACGTACAAGTAGTAACAGAAGTCAGGATTTCAGGCATGCATAGGGGGGCCTCACAAGTTGTTGTTGCAAAATACCCATTTCTAAGTGTAACGCTCTTCATTTTTAAAGAAAATTCAAATATTAAACAGCAGCAACATCATGAAGCTTCAACGTGAGTTTGCAGTGTGTCTTCTGACTATTTCCACAATATCCTACTCTTCCTGAAAACAAATAAATTAAAAAAAAAGTGTTTGTTGAAACTCTTCTCAGGACAAAACATTCTCCCACCAGTGAATCTCAAGAAATTCAGATCCATGTATTTCCTACCATCTTTATTTTTCCTCATGAGGAATCAAGGCAAACCACGGATTTTAACCTAGCAATACACAAATCCTGTCATCACCTCCTCGTTAAGAGAGGATATCCAGAGGATGATGGTTGGGCTGATTCAGAGGGCTATCAACAGGAATCATGATGCTCAGAGGAAAATGCAGGTCCTGAGTGCAGGAGAAACCACCCATGCACCAACATGCACTGGGGCTCAGCAGCTTTGCAGGAAAGGTTCCAGTGGACACCAGGAACGACCACAACCCAGCAATGGGACCTCTGGCAAAGGGGACAATTCATCTCCATCAAGATCTTCCTGGAGATTCTCTGAGCCAAAAATTCCCTAGACAGCTCAATAGTTTCTGGTAGCTAAACACCCCCATGACCTCCAAATCAATAGAAGTGCAAGATGCTACAAGATGCTACATTTCTTCTTTATAATAGCATTAGCTTAACTACAATTTAAGGCTATTGTAGGTACTTTCTGCATCTTGAAAACACTTAAACTACAAAATAAAATACAGAATTAGATAATAGAGGAATAAAAACAAGTCCCTAAGCTTCCCCCAGGCTAGGCATTTCCACAGTCCTACAGGTCTATGTAACAGCTGAAATGCAAAAGAGCAACCCCAAACAACAAGATTAAAATTAAAACAGCTTTAATTGGGTAATTCCCTCATCTGAAATGCAGGCCTGTCTTTTTTAATTGACTATTTTGGAAAGATAGTGTAAAGAAACAAGCATTTACTGTGTGCCTAGAAAAACTACTGAATTTTGTATGCAGTTCCAAAGGCAAAAATGGCTTAGCAGCCGTCCTCACCTCACCTCCTCTTACAGAAAATTTATACTTCTTTCACCATAAATACTTCCTTCTTCCTCAAATGAGGAGATTTAATTTGGTGTCAAGCAGACAAGTTTGGGAAAGGAAAAACAATTCAACTTAAGAAAAAAACAATTTTATCAGGAATTGACAGTATATATGATTAACCAGTTAAGTTACACCAAACACAAAAAGTCCAAAATATCCATGGGCAATATTCAAATACTAAAGGTTGCCTAAAGACATCTACATTCAAGTTAACAAAAAAAAAGACACAAAAATCACACACAAACGCAGCAACATGAGTGTAAACATCACAGAGAAGACCTGTGCACAAAGACGGGCAGTAAAAGGGAGACCCAGAGCAGCCCCATGTGCCATGGACATGGATGCACTTACAGGGGGACGTGGTGCCTACCTGGGCTCTGCTTTTAGAAAGCTGAAATGCTTTTTTAATCTCTAACCATTAACAGCTGATTGGAATCATGTTTCTAGAATCACAGAACCGGTGAGGTTGGAAGGGACCTCTAGAGATCATCTAGTCCAACCCCCTGCTCCAGCAGGGACACCCAGAGCACAGGGCTGTGTCCAAGCGGGTTTTAAAGATCTCCAGAGAAGGAGACTCCACAACCTCCCTGGGCAGCCTGGTCCAGGGCTCTGTCACCCTCACAGTCTTCAAGTTCTTCACAAGTTCTTAGAATCTTGAATACAGAGCAGGAGCACACAGGAAAAGTTATGTGAGGGGACGGCAGTGCTATAATGCTGATCTGGCAGCTTGAGGGAAAGGAAAGCGTAAGAGAACTCAGGATTGAGAGAAACATCAGCAAATTCCCATTGCTCTTCCTACCCACCACCTGGTTCTCTGAAGCCAGAACTTCTGGATTCTCTTGTTCCCCTCCCTCATTATTATCCTATTTTTTTAATTATCATAAAAATTAAATTTTAAAAATTTTAAATTATCAAATTAAAAGAAAATAGACTATTCCTATGGAACTGACGGCATGATGAAATTCTGAGGCACTTGCAGATCACAGCATTAAAAAAAAAGGCAGCTATAGCTCTTTTTGCATGGGCTCTTTCACATACCTAAGGAAATCTCCCATAAAAACAATGAAAAAACCCAAACAATTAAAACCTTTCAGTCTGGCAAACAGAGCAGATTCTCAGCATTTTTTTCTTATTCGTCCTGTTTCATTAAGTTTTACCTCCACCTGGTGGCTATGGCCAACATCAGCACAAGGGACCATCTCCTGCTGTCTGAGGGATTTCTGGGCTCAGTTCACCATTCACTGGATAACATCACTTACACTGGACACAGCTATGGGCTCTCTGCTTCACTTTAAAAATTAAAAGTGTATAATTTTCTCATCTTCTATATGCCACAAATAATCTAACAGTCGTATGGTATAAAAACCCTTAAAATTGAAATCTGTAATGGAGACACTGGGCAGCATTTATAATGGATATATCTAGGAAAAATGAAGTGTTTGCAATCAAGTTTTCCAATTTAACTTTTTTTTTTTTTTGGCAAAACATTAAGCTAATGTGTGTAAAGACTGAGCCAGACGTAATGAAGAACTATGGAGAGGGGGGCAAACACTTCCCAAACTCGACTCTTGGAGATGGCACTACGAATTCCCAAAGGCTGCACATGTTTCACAGTTACTTTTACCAAGGTGAGAGGATTTTACAGGGCACTGGAGCACGTGCAGACAAACCCAGCTGGTGCCACAAGAGGGAGCCCGTCCCCAAAATAACAAACTCTAATGTTCTGTTGAACTGTTAAGTTGCAGTAACACAGCCCTGAGACCTGATCCCAAAGAGTACAAGTGTTTATAAAGCCCTCGTAGCAACTCCAATAAATCTGTCTTAATTTGGCCGTGATTACAGCTCGCCTAAACTCTGCAGAACATGGCCAAACTTGGACACAGGGCTGCTGGGCTTAATTCCATGCTAGGCAGCTTGGGAGCTAACAAAGCTCTGAGCTTATGAAATACAAAAGTTATATTTTATATGCGAAACACGCCAATTTCGACACATTATCTATCACAGTAAAGCAAAACAAGATAGTCACTGGAAACTTTAAAGACCTTCTTATGAGAAGCCTACTTCTTATGTAGAGCAGATTTCTAAGTTAACTCAAAGTTTCTTTCACCTAAAATGAGTGAAAACATCTGAAATACATACTAGATAGTTTTAATTCCCTGTACTACTACTATTGTACTTTTCCAAAGTCATTTCAAACACAGAAGAATTGATAAATTTTCATTAATAAGAACCAGATTCTCAATACCAAGTGTGAAAAGTTTCTGAGCAGCTAAAGCCCTTTGAAAAATAAAAATTGGTTTTATCATTTTAAAATAAGAGACATGTCAAATCAGCAACACCCCATCCTAAGCAGGAGGTTTTACTGATCACAGAATTACTTGCCCAGAAACACCCTCTGAAGCTACATGGTGGGGCCTCCTGCTTAAGACAGGAAACCTGCAGGTTCAACCTGGCTGCCCAGGGCACAGGCCCGTTACATTTTCCAACACAGGGTTTTCTTGCTTGTCTTTTTGCTGTCAAAATATCCATGCAAACCCATGGGATCCCACGCACAAAGTTTCCTGAGGAGGACAAGGACTGTTTTCTTAGAGCATCCTGTTTCCATTGCCTTCCTCCCTTCCCTCTGATCTTCAAACTACACAGCCCAGGCAAAGCAAAAGGTCCCTCCTCACCCACAAGGAGGATCAAAACATGTTTATTGCCCAGAGAAGAGAACCTGCAAGCGCTCTCAGGAAGACGGCAGACAAGACAGCACATTAGGCACATGCCCTCTGCTCTAAAATTGTCATCTTATTTTTAAGACCCTGCAAATCAACAATCCATCCTTTTGCCATCCATGCACATTAGATATTTTGCAGAAATGCGCATTAGAGGCAAAAAGTAAGCAGTAATGCAAATCAGAGAAAAATATCTTCAAAGAAAAATTTTTGAAGTCATCTGTGATATGGGGTATGAATAAACTGGTATGCAGCATCATAAACAAACAGGCTTATGGAGCTGGGATTTACACACAAGAAAAAAAAAAATGATCATATTTAAGCTACTAGTTCCCAGGAGTTCTTATTCTATATTGATATTTAAAGGAGAGAACGTTAGTTTCCTCAAAAATGCACAATTCAAGAAAACAGGAAAAAAACATGAACACAGCAAACCACTGCACAACACTCCCCGAACAGTGAAGATGCACACAACACAACCAACCAGCCAGAAACCACACAATTCATTTGCCATCCTAAATGAAAATATTTTCTTTTAGCTAACAAATAAACACGTATGTGGGACTGCGTAACAAATATATTCATTTTAATGACAAGATGCTGAGTACTAACCATGAATTAGTGAGCCATTTAACCACTGAATATAGTAGTTTTGTGGAAAAGAGAGCAGGATCTCATTGCTGATTATTGAGAAGGGCAGAAGCAGGACTGCACCAGCGGAAACTGCTAGAGTGAAGGTGCTCAAGAACAGCCTGAAATTTAAAGAAAGGCACCACTGTTACCACCAACAACACGCTACAAACAAGGGAGGAGGAAACAAGTTACCTGACAGTGTCTGGGGATGACCCATTCTTAGGTGCAAAGGGGCAGGAGAAGCCAGAATTTCATAATATTCCGCTTTTTGAATGGCAAATTTATAGAACTTGGTAAAAACAATTAGTTTAACTACCACAAATTACACAGGATGAAACAGGTCAAGTGGATTATCTTTCAATTAGAATTTGTTAAAATACTTAAGTTGGCTTTTGAGATACTAAATGCAATTTACACTGAATGCCATCTTGTAGCATCAAGAACTTTGTTCTTCAGAAAACAAGACCAGCGAAAACTTAGCAAATTAGTCTGATGCTAAAAGAAAACTGAAAGTTTTTCAAATCACAGAACAAGATGAACTGAAATCGACTCCTCCTACAACAAGTAGGTCACCAAGTCGCTCACAGAAATCTTCTCCTTAACAATCTGTCCTTACAAATCTATTTTTCTTATAGGACTATACAAATGAAAAGTCTAAAGTCTGACTAATTTAAGAATATATATATATATATATATATAAAAGGAGGTTCAAGTATTCTAAACCAGAATGTTAAAACCACATTAAAGTGATTCAAAGCGCGACTGTTCGGCTGTTTTTACTACCATTAACCTCCCCCTTTTTTTCAAATCGTTATCACTGTTAAATGTCCTAACAGCTACACTACATATAGCATTGTCAACCTGCATGCACCTGACAGGACTTTTTGAAAATCAATGTGCATAAGTGAGGAATGAAAAAACTTAAGCTGAAGGGGATGGAAGCTGTTTTAAAACTGAATAATTTTAATGGAAGTCTCTTAGAAGCTTTTGACACTTCAGAGTGAGTGCAACAAAACGTGTATTTCTCTCTGCAGATCTCAAGTAGTTGATGAAAAATCAGTATTCCAAATTCATAAAAAACAATGTTGTTCTCAAATACTATTGGGAGAAGGCCTGAAGTGCACACAAGCACTTCTGTACATGTTTTGAGCTTGCCAGGAAAGCCCAGCGGAAAAGGAACAGTTTGCAATGTGCTCAGCACCTTCCCAGAGTACCAGGCAAATCAGTGCGATGAGCGAAGAGCTCCCCTTCCAGTAGGGTGACAACCCCACTGGGAGAGCTGGGAATGCTGCACAAGGGGCAAGTCCCCCTAATTCAGCAAACTCAACTGTCCAAGTCAGTAAATGGAAGGTCAGTGACAGTTCACAAACGCTTGGCAAGTCTTCAGCTACTTACTTAAAACAGGAGAGATAAATATCTAGCTTTAAAGAGGAACAAAAAAAGGTGAGGCCCTGGCAGACCAGCAGGTCTGACAAGTAGTTAACTTCCTTCGCCCTCTCCTTTTATTTTAAAGCCCTGTTCAGGCACCCAAATGCAGATGTCTAAGTCGGGATGAGCTGACTTGTTCTCCAGGCTCCACTGCCTCCTTTGACAAGATCTCCACTGACTGCAGCAAGACTTAAACACTCACCTCACATGTAAACATCTAGAGCTAGAAACTGGAAACTTGGGTGCAAGCCTTGAACTGAATTTCACCTCTAGCATCAGATCCTCAAGCCTACGAGGAAAAGCCCTAGATCAAATTGGCTTCCTTCTTGACATTCCTTTCAAAATCCATATTGCCATTTGATCAGCTTTCTCCTCATGCTTCCCCAACAGCACAATCCACATGCCATAATATTTAAAATGGATGATTTTTTTAATCTAGAAGCAAATAGCACTCTGTCTATAGTCACATATGAACAGGAAAAAGCAGTAGTGCACAAAGGAGTTATACATACGAAATTCTGTTAACAATGGCGTCTTCGTCCTCTTGTTCATCTGGAAAAAATAAACGGCAAGTTACAGCAGATTATATTCAACGTATAGTTGTATTTCTTCAGGCCAAAGTGCATATATGAAGGACTAACTTTAGCTGAAATTTAAAATTTAGGATTACTAAAGCAAAAATAAATTACTAGCATGAATATTTTAGAAGACTGCTAATGAAAAAAATAATGATTTCATATTCTCTTGATAGTTTTAAGCACTTTTTAATCGATATAAATACAAAGTTATTTGACTTGGCTTGGATCTGTGTATTCAAATAAAATAACGGGTCTTCCAGAGCAAACAAGCTACAGGAAAAAGCTGCAGGATACATACTAACTAATGCCCCCTAGGTAGATCTTTCATTTTTCAGCATTAATGATATATTTTTTTTCCCCAAACAAGGTAGCATGGCCCATAATAGTAATGACCATTTAACTGCTGCTTCTTGTTCATTCCACCACCACTCCTAAAGTGATACCCAGGTTTCCCTTCAGATACTTGGCATTTTAGACCATTTTTCTCCACTTCTTAATTAACACTGACCTTTCAGAATATCAGCATTTAATTCAGAAACCAATCACAGATATATCTTTTGTATTTTTCTACATATATCTTTTTTCCAAATTTGAAATCATTTTCTAGTCAGCATTTGAAGTCTCACAGCTTTTTCATGAAAGAAAACATAAAAGGCAAATCCTAAGAAAAAGCCAGGTGTTCCAGTTTTATGCAATAAATAATATGCAATAATCTTGAGGTAAACATGTAATTTCCCAAATAATTTACTTTGAGAAATGCTAAGGTATGGGGCTCTTGTTCCTGTTTCATGACAGGAATCTCACAGTGTTTTGAGAGGCCAAGTCCAGGTCAAGCTCTTCTGTGATTTACTTCTGCTAAAGAGCTTGTTGAGGGAAGAGCAGCAATTCTTCCCAAAGGAATTCCAGAAGTGCTAATTTAAATTAAAATGTGTGCCACCAGGAAGATCCTAGCAGGCTATAAAGTCTATCTAGCTAAATGCTCAAAGCTTTCATAAAGTCATGACAGCATCTGAGCATTTCCTTTCCATTTCTTCCTTGTCCATGTGAACAACTGTCAAAAAGCATCTCTGCCACCAGCGTTTGCTGAGCCAGTTCCTCCCCTTCTTCCACACCTCCCAACAGCAGTAACTTTGTAGTATCCCAGATACATATCAAGATCAGCAGGTAGAATCTGTCCTATTCATTAGTTTAGCCACTCGTGTAAAAAGACAGTTTTGGGAAGAGTTTTCAGTTTGAGGTCTTCACAGTTCTATTGACGAAGCCATTAAAGAAAGCACCTCCATCACAACACAGGTGGCTACAGCTCAATGAGCATTTTCAGTCAGAGCTTGCAGCCCTAGGAGCTTCATGCACGGAGATGAAGCCCAGGAGGAGGATCAGTGAACACCAAAGCTGACAGGGAGCCACAGTTCAGGGAAGAGACAAGTGCCCAAGCTGGCACAAGGGAGGGGACAGCAACTTGTGGGGCAGGGACAAGTGGAGGGCAAGGCTGCAGGATAGAGACACATCTGCCCAGGCTGCTGTGGAGCTGCAGGCTGAGAAACAGGTTTGAGCTGAGCTCTGAGCAGGTGGTTCTGCTTTCCAGGGAGAGACAGATGGGGCAGGAATCACCTGTTGCCCCTGAAAAATAGATTGATATTTGAAGGTATAAAAAAAAAAAAGACCCTGCTCACCTGCTTTTCTTTTGTATCTTGTGATTATGAAGTAGGAAACTATGTAGAGAACAGCAAACAGGAGAAAACAAATCTGGAAAGAAAAAGGTGCTTTGTTAGCTTGGGAGGAAAAACTTTGATTATAATACGAATAAACAGAACATAATGTGTGAACAAATTCGAAGTGGTATTGTAGTATTTACATAAGTCAACAAAATCATACTATAAAACAAGTGTTGACATTTACATGTTTTCTATATTAACATAGTTAAATGAGTATAACCTCTTAGTTTAAACAATATTTCTTGAAAAACAGCCAACTAGGTTACAGTTCTAGATCCAAACTGTTCAAGTATTTAGAGTTAGGACAGAGTTTTCAAAACAAGTTCTTGGTGTCTTTATTTCCCATGCAAAAGCAACTTATCAGCAGAGGGAAAGAAAATCAACCGCATCAAAAGGCCAATTTGAAAAGAATCATGAAGGTCAACACTGCCCAGAGCTCAGGCAGCCACTGATCCTTCACTTGAAGTGTCAGCTCAGGGCTCAAGCCAGCTGCCTGGACCCAGCATGTAAATAACCCTTAAGTGAGTCCAGAAGATGTTATATCAACTCCAGCTGGAGAAAATACACCTTGTTTCTGATTGTCTCATTTTTAAGCTGAAATCCTTTGAGTTGGGAAAGCTGTCACCCTTTGTATTCCTTCTTATGCAAGGTTTGTGTATTACAGATGAGCTCCTGTAATCCTGTTTTGAAGTAATCTATCAATTGGTGAAGAGAAAAGCAAGCAGCCGCACCTTATCTTTCCATTACAGCAAAGTTGTTTCCAAAATTGAGCACTGGAACAGAAAAACAAGGCAGGACCCAAACAGCTACAGAGACGGGCTGAGAGGAATCACACGGCCAACTAGCTTTAATCCTGCAAAACCTTGAGGAAAACAAACCCCCCCGGCACTGCTTCCTAATCTTGCTTGCTGATGTCTGGTAAAGAGCTAGAGTCAGTCGGAAGCTGCCCGGCCAAGCAGGGCACCCAGCAAGGCCGGCGGCTCTGACCTTCACTGCCACTTGAAGGGTAGCGGGGCTGCGTCCGAGCCTAGCTGCTCTTTTAATAAACCTGCAGGAAACACTATCCGTGCTGCACAACCTGAGAAATTCCCTGTCTCTCATCTGTTAGGATCCTTTTGCTCACACACACAATACTGGCAGTTTCCCAGGCTCAGAAGGCAGCACTTGTCGTCCAGTTGTGGTTTTTTTTTAATACTGAAATAGTTTGCCATATTGCTAAAGGGTTAACAGCTCTGTGTCCATCTGCAAAAGGGAGGGCAATAAATCCCCTATAACATTCACACCCGAGCAAATGCATCGCATCCAGACCAGTAAGACCGGAGAAGAGCACATTGCCTCACCAGGTATTATTGCCACAGAAATAAGATTTAACAGAAACAGACTGGTGTATTTTCATATCTGAGAGAATGAAGGTAAACTGGGAGCCACCTCAGGTGTCCAGACTGCCGGGGCTGTCAGGAGCAGTTAATGTCACAGTGCCAATAGGGGACAAGTTCCCAATTCTCTGAAAACCAGACCAAGCTAACAGACAGTAACATCTGAACTTATGCATCCACCTTTGAAAACTGGGTATCACATACAGGGCCAGAAAAAGCCTTTGCAAGTTAAGAGCCCAAAAATCCAGTTCCTGTAAGAAATACGCTTTTTCTTGTACAAATAGGGTATGGTTAAGCTCTTTTGGTAATAATATGACAATCTTGTTTGTATTTTCAAAGAAATGGCTGACTTATATCTGCAGTGTACTTTAAAAGGAAAAAAAAAGGGCGGGGGTCGACTTTGTCCTTCGAAAGCACTGCTGAGATCCCCGTTTTGAGGGCACAGCATCGGAGAGTTGCCCAGTAACATGAACTGTCAAATACTGGATTTCTAGTTTGACATGACACCCACTCTGCAACTCAGCAATAAGGTGTAATTATATACCTCGGTGTAATTAACCCTCTCCTTTGCTGGAGTTGATACATACAATTTTGAGACTAAATATTTGATAGAGATTGTTTATTACAGAATACAAATAGTTTTTCCTGGATCAACACACAGAAATAAGTTCTAATGAATAAAACTGTTAGGATATTAGGATGCAAGCTCAGTATTCAGAAGTCCTGAGTTCTTTATACCAACAAGCAAACTCAAATATTCTTTCAGCCCCCATTTATACTTAGAGAAACCCATGATCCTGAGATGTTCGCAGCCACATGCTGAGCTTCCTGAAGCTGCAAACCTAGCATCCTAAAACTTAATTTGGGGACAAGGAATGTGTTGCCGAGAATGGCAACAGAAGAGACCCCACATTCCAGTCACACTGCAGTCCTCTGTTCCTACTCTTCAGATTTTTGTTTGTTTGTTTCAGGATATTGTGTACAGCAGAAAATAGAGTCCTTACTTGTACATGTTCTAGTTTCAGTGTGTGTTTCTTACACACGTCAGACTGTACACACTGCTCCAGGTAAGGTCCTGTGGCAACAGTATGAACCCTGCCTTTCTTTACTGCCATTACTGCAATATGCTCACCTGGAAAAACCACATCAGCAATCTAAAATTGCACCCTGATTACACCAAATCCATCCACTCTGCAGCTGCTGAACTCGCCAATTACAACGAAACCTCATTATTTGTATTCAAGGGCATCATATCTTTCCACCCCCCAAAAAAATATTCCCCACACCTGAGCTTCATACTACACCTCTTATTTCGGGGTAACCCAGTCCTCTCTGGGCAATGTTCTAAGCCTCCTCTGCACTGACTACATCTTCTAGAAAGCTGATGGTCATCTAGAAGTCAGGAATTTTTACTTCATTTTCTTGCAATTCAAGCAATATAGCTTCTAATACTGATCTCCAAGGCTCTCCAGCAGCAGCTTGCTTCCAGGCCAGTACCTATTGCCACACACTACAGAGTTTATTTCCTTCACAGCAAGGAGTTTATTTCCCTCACAGCCTCTATTGAGGCACATCTCCTCCAGCTCAGCTAACAGCTGCCCACACATTTTCTGGACACAGCCCTTCACACAGGTAAGAAAGGGACAACAGCCTTCCTGCACTTCACGGATGCCAGGCTTGACACTAGAAACACACACAGCTAGGGAGATGTCCTGAAACAGGAGGCAATTCCAAGCACATCATACACAAAGCTTCACTCATCTTTTACCCAGAAAAAAAAAAAACAACTAAGGAAGTTAAGAGCAATGTGAGATTTCTATACTGTTAGACCCAAAAAGCCAACCAGAACAGTTTTTACTTTTTTTTTTTTAGGGTTGGTTTTACTCTTCACACACTACCCAGCAACTGAAAGCAGATCACAGGGATTCTGTGCCAGATACAGGGACGCCCTTTCAATCAGGGACACTAAATAACTGGGGACTTTGAGCACGTAATTCATTTGCATCTCTGAATGGAAGAAATCCATCTCCCTTTGAAGGTCTTCATGTGGGAAAGGACAGGCTTTATGCTTTGCTCTAGGGTACACAAAGGGATTGCCAAGTGATGCTGTGACTAGCAGTGCCCTGCACTGAACTCTGTATCCACCTCTTCCAAAGGCGGTGACACTTGGATCCACACCAGACAGTTCCAAGCTCTGGTGAGGATGGAGTTGCAGACAAACCACGCGGACCCCAGAGTCCGTGTGTGCCACAGGGGCACGGGGGATTTTGACATTAAAGCTCTTACCAACTCAAATTACCTGGTACTTATCCCACTGGCAGCTACTAAAGATCAAGTGACATTAATTTGTCTACATGGATGAACTTCAGCACCTCAGCACTCTAATTAATGGTCTGGATTGGTAAATCATTATATTCTGCTGCAAGTGCTACAGCTCCACTTTCATTTTAAGTAAGAAAACCCTCAAAAAGCACAAGCTAACATGAAAGAAATTGAGGAAAAAGGTGCACTTTGGAGCACTTGCTCTGTGCTGAGAAGCTGAAGTACCTAGGCTGGCTCAACCTGAAGTTTGATGAGGTTTTGGGGGAACCTGCCAGAACTGGCCAGGAGGCTGGGGCAGCCTCCCAGGACTTACAGGGAGGTCATTACAAAAACAGTGCCAGGCTCCTCAGAGTGGTACCTGTGAGGAGGATGAAGCACAATTTGAAAAGAGAAGTTCAGAAATAAGAAACTCCCAAGAAGACAGTCAAGTAGTGGAACAGGTTGTTCCACTTTGTTGTTGAACAATCTCCATCCCTCAAGATTTTCAAGACGCAGAAGGATAAAGCCCCAAGCAGCTCAGCTTCCCCCCTACACACACCCCTCTTGCTTGAAGCAGGAGGAGTCAGCACTCCTGCTACCCTCAGATCAACACAAAGTTGGACAGCTCATGACTGACACCCTTCTCCAGCTCATAAATTAATGTGTTTAAAAGTACTAGTGTAAGCAATGATCTTTGTGACTAGGCTGGTAACACCCTTCCGGTATGAAAATGTGAGCTTTTTATTTCTGCCCTTTTGTTACCTGCATTTAAAAGAACCTCTGCCTCAGCTCGTGGGTAACTCACACTGACACAGTTGCAAACTCAGGGGATTACTGCCCATCTCACCCCTCACTCACACACGAGCACAGTGACTTTGCTCCAGCCTTCAGGGACTTCCTCACTGGTTCATGGGTCACAGGGCAAAGAAAAAACTATAAAAACACTCTAGAAAGCTCCTCTGCCAACAGTTTTAAGATTGATAAGCTTAATCTTATGAAGTTAGATGCTTTTAACACTTTCAAACATGAGAAAGAAAGTAGCCAAGTGATCCAGCTACGGAGAGTAAATGCAGAGGAGCGAAGCAGTCATGCAGTAGTCAATAGTATTTTTACTTTGCTATATAGGAAATAAAAGAGCAAGACAAGCCAGAGAACCAAGGAATAAAGGGAACGATTTTTATAGTATTATCTATGCTAGAATTAAAAGACTACTGCTATTGCATCCAGCCAGCACTGCTGCTCACAAAATATGGGAGAAGCTATGCACATACTGCAGAATCTCTCTCCTGCCTGCAGTTCTGCCTGCATGGGTCGTTTTCCCTAAATAGCAAAGAAAAAGCACAGAGGCAAGAGA